CTTCCTGCCCGACTTCTTCTTTATCGTAACAATGAAACGACAATTGGAATTTTGGGTCAAGTTTACATAAATATTCAGGTCATCTATCCGATAAAATATCGATTAATATCTTTTGTATTTTGTATAAATAAAACAAATAGATAATCTATTTGTTTTGCTCTCAATCTGTTTACTGGAAACAAATCAAGTTTGCGTATGCCAACAAACATTCCATATATAAACTGCAAAATAATCTCTCTATTACTATATATTTAATTTTCTAGAGAAATATTTTTAAATATTTAAGAGTTAAAAGTAATTTAATAAGTATAGATTACATAAACCAACAATTTGCATAAAATTTAAATAAAAAAGATTTTATTTAAAACAATTCTATCTTAATATTTTTTAATGTATTTACGCATTTCAACTATGCTAATTTATTCTATACATATGCAACATATTTTTCATTTATTTGTTTATTATTTTTTTATAAGTTATACTATTTTTTTACTGCTAAAACAACAGCATTCTTATATCTAAAGAAAACGAAAGTTTATATATGCATTATAACAGAATAGTGAGGCCAAAGCAATAAAATTTATTTAATGGATTCATGTAAAAATTTTTATTTTACATAAACAATACAGGTGGAATACTAACAATAAATAAATATTAAATAAATCTACACATGACAAAATGATAAATTTCGTTTTACACTGTTATTTCCTATAGGCTCTATAAGGGCCGTGAGCTGCATTGTCCCAATGAGGGGGGTGTTCTATAGGTGGATGTCCGTAATGAACAACTTCATAAGCAATTTTTGGTTTAGTTAACTTGAAAAGTATCATTGCTCCGCTGAGAACCATCGATAGAAGACCCAAGGTCAGTGCTTTCCATGTTTTCAAGGCGATGAGGGCAAGAGCAAGAGGTACTAAAGCAGTGGCTTTGAACTTGAGACCAAGTAAGAACGGTATCATTACTTTCTTAACGAAACCACGACCTGCAAGTAGAAATAAAACCTGCTTAAAACGTCCTTCAAGAAATCTTGCATTATTAAAAATTATGATATATTTATATTAGTTATTTTTCGTTGCCATTAGTTTATACTATAGAAATGCAGATTGTAAAGAATGTAAGATAATGTCAACCGGAATTTGTGCTGTTTGTATTAAGTTACCTTGCTCAGAAGAATCACTAAGAGGAATTGTAAGACTCTTTGGCATGCTGTCAACTAAAGATCTGGGGACGATGCTGGATCCCACAATCGCTTCAGGTAGTTTAGCTTCAAGCTGATGGCTTGACAAGTACGCGTCCAATTTCTCAAGCATCATTGTCCGTAGGAGTTTTCTCTTGGATGGATCTGCGGCATCGTATTGTGAAGGGAAATAATCTTCCTTATGCTCTGGCACGTCACGAGATTTAACTATTGCTAAATCCTCCGTAATTGCTAATTTATCTTGTCTCACGACATTGTTGATGTAAGCTAATACTTTCGGTTTAACGCAAGATAACATAGATTCGCTATCTGTGCATCTGAAATATTTCAAATTCGTATTTTATATAAAGCATCACATATTTAGAAGGTATTACTTTTTAATCTTGACATTTTTATTTGATTTAATACATATTATTTTTTATAATTATAGAATTATATAAATATAAAGAATTATGATAAGTGTAACTTACCTGTGATAAATGTCTTGCAAGACATCAAAGGTAGTTTCTGTTTGTTGTGCATTCGTGAGAATGGCCAGAAGGGCTATTGACGCACAAGTGATTAAGATCCTCATGGCGGTACCACCGATTCGCCAGACTAAACACCGAATGCCAGTACGGTCGAAGTCAACCGGGTTTTATAGCTGATGGCAGTCGCATACGGTCGATGAATTTTGATCACGGACGTGTTGCTGACTGGTTGAAAGAAAAGAAGAAAGCCTTATTATCTAGGGTGTCAGTATTTTCACGACTTTAAATGCCGTCATCTTTCTAGAATGATTTCGATTTCGATATCTACACGAAATACTAGTTCCGTTTTTGGATTATATCTGTCAATAAACTATATTAAAATGATGTTTACTCAGAATACTTTTCAATAAGTTCGTAATTTTTCTGGATATTTCTACAGTGTGACTTTTACTGCTCAACAAAATGTAACATTTTTTTCTGTTTTTACAAATATAATAAAAAATACAATTCTGTTAGATGTATTAGTCAAAATACAAAACATTATAATTTTATGTGTAATCTCGTAAAATAGTTTTTACTTTTTTCTTTTCTTAAATTTTAAATACTTTAATTATAATGTAAATTTTAATAAAATCAAACGAGTAATTCATAAATACTTTAGTTTGAAGAGCATAATATTTAAATAATGTGTATTTATATTTTATAAAATTAACAGATAGAATTACTTAGAGAGAAGAACACAAGATATAGAGAAACAATTTTACAATATTATAGTATGTATTTAAAATAATATTACATTTTTTATATTATTTTTATATTTACTCAATTTAATTATTTTTTTAAATGCCTCTATCAATCTGGAATTGAATGAATAATTGAATTGATAGAATAATAATATAATAATGTATTTAAATTAATTTATTAACTTAAGTAAATAAATTTAATTATTTTAATTATTATTATTATTAAACAGGACAAAAGTTATAAAGCTCACATAATTACAATTTAAAAAAAAAACGAATAAATATTTTAAAATATTTATAAAAGATTTATTTTCATTTAAATATAGCTCACGAATTATTTGCTGTTAAAAGTATCGAGTACAAACCTTATAGATGTAAGGATAATACATGAAAGTATGACATTAATTTAATGTTTCATTGCGCATAAATTAATATACGTTCAAGCCATATAATTAATTAAAAGTATTTATTTTTTTACATTGTTTTTCGATATTTGTATGCTTTAACATAAAGTTTAAATTAATAACAAGTAATATTTATTGGGTATGGCACCCGAATATGTTACAGTAAATAATTAATTATCTACAAATATAGTTCTTACATAATAAACACACTCTTAATTAATTTTTATACAACATCACACGTATCATGCAAAAGTGTAATATATTTTAAATATATTTTTAATTTATTAAAACGGCATTTTTAAATATTTTTTATACTTTGCATGTAATTATAAAAGACATAAAGTCCTTCCTAAAATGACCTAATTAATTTGTTTTATAAATAAATATTTTAAAATATATACATGTATTACATTTGTAAAAAAAGTTTCTTTTTTTTATTTATAAAATACTATAAATATTTTATAGTATTTTATTTTATAAAATATTTTATTTTACTTAATAAAATACTAAAATGTAACAATTTTTGAAATTTAAAAAAAATGCATAGATAGCACGCATATTCAAAAACAGGACATAAGATGTTTTAAAATATCTTACATATATGTTGCAATTTTGATATGCGTTCTGTGTGGGCATCATCACAATTATCAAAGTTATCCTAACTTTAAGCGAAAATTACTCTACTTTATTATTAAAACGAATAAAAGTTGCTCACATAATTTATCATACAATTTTAGAAAAAATAGAATTAGAATAAATAGAATTAGAATAAATAGAATTTATGTGTGTTTTCCAAATATGAATCTACTAAATTAAGTAAGGGAAAAGATTATAATATGGGCCCCTAACATTATCTCCTGTAAAAGATTTTTAACTTGTTCTTAGATAGATGTCGAAATTATGAAATAATTATCGCTATGACCAGCGTTGCCTTTTTATTGACAATGTTTATTTATTATGACGTAAACCAAAGTTTCTTTGTATGATTTTCAATGTCAAATTTAAAATGATTTATGGTTTGTCAGTAATGAATTTTTACTCTATTAATCTTTAAAATGTTATTCTGCTGTTTTGAATAAATAAGAAAACTTGAATAATTTTTCTGCTAAAATATAATTAAATGTGTTTTTTATCAATATTTCTATATTGAGCCTCTTAACAAGTAATGTAGGCCCTAAGATTTAAAAAAAAACAGTGAAAAGTATTATTTTTGCTTTAAAAATCTTTATGATTATTATTTTAATAATTTTAAGAAATCTCTAGAAGTATCTATGAAATAGGAAAGAAGTGGTAAACACGCTCACGAGAGCAGCATCAACATAAAACTGTTTCTAAAAGAACGTACTTATGAAAAGAAACGTTTGAATTTGATAAATATATTCATAATTTTCTATAAATTCAATTTCAATTTGGACTTCATGAGAAGTCTAAATAACATAGAAAAAACTAGATTCTGTAAAAATCTAACAGAGGCCCACTTCTCTCTCATCACCTTCAGATAATAGATCTGTTTTTTATTGCTGCACTTTCTGGAACTAGTACACATAGCAATAAGTTGAAGTGAAACAAATATACGTTTGTTTCACTTTAACTTATTACACCGGTTTAGAGTGCAGCAATAAAAAACAAATCCTAAAAAACAGACCTAATGTCATCATAATGTCTTTTTCATTTAAACAATTTTTTTCGTTTTGTGGAAACTGTCTTAATCATTTCAAATGTATTTTATACTAAACTTAAATCAATAAATTATATTGTTTACAATATTATTAACTTGAATATAACTAAAAAAAATGGCGCCCACATTATCACTTTTTCCTCTACAATTTCTCCTGTTATTTCTTAAAATAATATAAATTTCGAAATCACATAAAAAATTATAAAAAGCTCGCTTAACTCATAAAATGCCACATAATCCAACATAATATGAATCTTATTATCTAATTATATTTAATAATAATATTTTTCTTGGAGACAGTGATCTTGCTGACAACGCGTCAATAAACTAAAAACTTTGACATGTCATCACAAAATTCACCGATTTTACTCCTTAATAAATTTGATCATTAAATTAAAAAAATTGACATAAATTACAACAAAGTATAACGTTCAACGTCTTGATCAGCATCTTATTAACTAAATTAATTGCTAGGATTAGTACAGTTACAGATAGATCTGTCCGCAGGATAGATGTAACCTCAATTTTTTTCTAATAGGAAAATTAATGTTCATATGAATTCACGCACGTCTCATACATAATATATTCATAAATTAATGCATGGCAGTATATCATCTTCCTTATGATATTGCGCAACGTTATGACGCTGAGCTTCTAATATAATTTCTTCGGCCTCATTGAGCAAATGTATATGTTCTGTAGTATTCATACAAACATCCGTTACGTTTTAATTGCAGATTATGTGAATCGATACAAATTCCACATTAGGAAGTATTTATTCGATATTACTATGACACGGATACGTTTTAAGGCAATCTCCACCATTTTGACCGTATCTGGCTGCATTCATATATCTATAGAACTTTTGACTGGACGTACTTCCTGTTACATCACGCCTGAGTTCTTGCGGATCTCTGAAAACATATGTAATTTTTTAAATTAATCTTCAAAAGGCATAATATTTCTAAAAAGTATTATGAGAGATTATACATCTCGATTAACGTGCTTGTTTTCGAGCCGCGTCGACCCGATTTATGTTGTTTTCTTTGCTAGTTACCAGATAATTCAATATATACTCGTACATGCATTGCTCTGAAACGTAATTTTGTTGCTCCTAAATAGAAAGTTACTTTTCAAACGGCTGTAATTATGAACGGATTACCCGACGAACGAAACGGAACTGTACTATATCTTCTTCCGGTCTGTCACATAGTCGACTCGACTAAAAGTATTTTTATTTTATATTTCATACCAATTATTAACAACATCTTAAACAAGCGTCAATATTCAAGTTAGGTAAGACTAATATGATGCGCGAAATGGCATTTATGTTGTTAAAAAATGGCAAAAAGAATGATATAAAGAAAAGAAAGAAAGAAACAGAAAAAAGAGAGAGAGATCGAGAAAGAGAGAGAAACCAAGATGACCCGATTAACGTGGATTCGGAACGCGCGGGCGATCTCCACCTTTCTCTTTGTGATGTGCGATTTAATCGATAAGCCACGTAGTTGCAATTTGTTTTATACCTGGAAAGTTCATTTGACACGAGGTTACTGTGCGGTGAGTAGCCCGCCGGATTTTTGTACATGCTGCAAACAAGCATCTCTCTGCACGGTTCCTCGTAGAATCTCAATTGTCCGAAGATTTTCTCCAGTCGATCGATTATCGGGCCGTAATACTCGTCTTCTGTGTCCTTTCGCGAGATCGACACGGGAGAAGATGCAGCAGGTGTCAAAAACCTCTGGGCGGGTTGATTTGGGTGAATCGGGCGTATGTTTGGCGCAAATATCGCGTAAGAGTTCTTTATCGGTGTCTTTGCACCAGACACGAAGCCTGGATTTACCGAAAGTATAGCAGCGGAATTTGGCTGCGCTGCGGGTCGTCGGTATCCGGAATAGACCAGGTTGTGGGTACTAGACGCCATTGAATTGTCTAAGTACGAAGATGCGATCGGCTTTACGTTCGGCGCATATTGAGCCAATCCGTATGGGCTTGAGTACGTAACTCCCGAAACTGAGGTCGGTGCTGGTACTACGCGAGTTAGGGTTTGACTGGACTCTTCATAGGGTTCGTTCTGAGGCTCGATACCCCATTCCTTTAGTTCTTCCAAATCCTTCCTATATTGAATGTGAGGGTGAGCGTAATCGGTGAAACCGTCTAAAGTGTCATGAGAGTGATCGTAGTACGTTGGGACTGGTACTGGAACCGGCACGTGATGATGATGATGAGCAATCTGAAATAAAGATTTGGATTGTTTTAACATTAATTAATACTGATAAAAATATTTCATACGGGTATTTTATAATTAAAATGCGAATAATTCGCACGCATACCTGATGATGATGATGATGAAACTTGGTAGCTTGGTTTGAATAATAGCTAGAGCAAAGCTTAAATATGTGAGCAAATGCGGGAATAAAGAAGAGCAGCAATTTTAGGAAAAGTTTCTTGGCAGTTCCCACACCGAAGAGAAATGGTATTATGAATAGAAACTTCACTTTAATTAACTTGATGATTAAAAGGAGCGCCAGAAAGCTGGTTAACAATTTATTTTGTATAAATTTCTCTAAAAATAAAATAAAATAAGACATTATAATCTGCATTCGTAATATTATATAATAAATATTCAAGAATTTGATTTTTCTTACTAATTTTTTTAAAAATTCGTCCCTGTTCTTGTACACCTTCAGTTCCAAAATCTACCCTGAGCAGTGCGCCGTTCTCGTCTATCTCGCGCGGGCTTATCTTCATTGTAGCACCCTCAAAGAAAAATTGCGGAAGTTGAATTTCATAATTACGAGTTGATAAAAATTTCACCGTTTTCCGCCGCAGAGCGTTCGTAATCTCTTCAAGTGGCGATTCATCACCAAACTTTCGATCTTCTATTTCTGCTTCTTCGGCTTTATTTTTACAATTGTCCATATCGATATCCACGATATTCTCGTGAACATCATCACGATTTTCTCTCTTAGGACACGTATTATAAGTGATATTGTTCTTCGTAAGTGTAAGACCATCAAAAATAGTGATATTGTCCCTTTCGATAAATGCATTGTCAAGATATGTGTACGCATTTTTTTGTATGCAAGAAAATGTCACTTTCTTTTTACAATCCCTAAAAAGTCCGTGCCAAAGCTCATTTCCGGTCTCATTGACATTTAACGTGTTAAATTTTAAGAACTTTGCGTAGAACCTGAATTTTTCAGTACTAAATAACTCCGAATACGACAGTGTTATCGAAAGACACAACAGGATTAATGTTCGCCGATACATCTTCAACAAATCACTTGCGGAGATTTAACTACATTTAATGTATATGCATATATTTTATTTGACTTTTGTTTATGTATGACCAGAAGTGTGAGGTAGCGTGCCGGAAGTACTGCACGCTCTGAATATATATGACCGGCATCAACTACTTATTTAGTAACATGAACCGGTACACTTTTGATTTCGCGGAAGGGTCATCATCGCTAGTCCACGTGCACGTCGGATTCTTTGGTATCTACCCGTAATCGTTACACACCCTTCCTACTTATTAGAATCGTCGTTCAATATCGATTCTCCCTCTCTTCTTCGGGGCCGAAAACTTTACCGCGATCTTCTCCACCTCTTAGCGACATCGATGGTCCTCTTCTTCACGATTCGGACGTAAGCTCTGTCGCCGCGGTCACGTTGCATCGCAGACGTCAATCGTCATGCTGACCACCATTGTTCGCATCGCTATCATCACATATGATTTAAATTCTCTATGCACTTTTGAACCGTTTTGTCTTCTTCACCCTCTTTTTTTTCTTCTTATCTCGTTCGTCGAGACGCGGTACGTTCAATCTCTCGCTTTGCACTAACCACGTACCTCTCCGTTCTCGGTTACAATTCACCTGAGCGTCAAGTGTGTCAAAGGCCCTCCTACTCCGTCAGCGAGCTCCTCCGTGGAAGGTCATTATCGTCTCCTCTCGGACTGCAACCGACCAGGCCTGTACTTATACACGCGCATGTTTAAGACTGTCCGGTTCTGCGGACCTGGTACATAAATATGCAGTAGGGTACTTTTTGGAAGAGCTCGCTGTTTCTCGATTGAGTTTCAATGCTAGGTCTTTTCAATATACATTTTGAATATTCATAACATTTAAAACATAAACTACGTCAATGTTTATAATTTATGATCCAATTACCTTAGATTTTATTAGTATAATAGATTAGTATAATTTAAAGATTTTTTTTATTAGAAAGTATATAAATGTAAATTAGAATATAACGTGCTTTTCTCGTGCACGAGATAAGAATTAAATAAATTAGTAAACTTTATTAAATTACAAAAAATTTACTATTTTTATCGTGAACTACATGATGTACTTATTATTCGACATACCATATGTTATAAATTTATATTATGTAATGTTATAATTAATAAAGTATAAATGTATAGATTTATAAAATTTAATTATAATGTATATATACATATGTGATATACAATAACATTTTATATATAAAAATAGACTATAACTTCTTTTTGTAATTTGCTTTTTTGAAAAATAGTAACAAACAAAATTTTTCCCGTAAGCAATTAGTATACATATAATTGAACTATTGCACATAGTATTCATACGAAGTTATATACGAGTAGTATGCATTCCGGTGTAAATCCAGTTTAACTTCCTTATCTTATTTATAGCAAAATAATAATTAGATTTTAAATTAAATTTTTTATTAAATGCAGTTATATATTATTTTGAACATAAAAAAAGCTCGATATTACAATTATATATTTTAATTATTAAAATTGCAAACTGAATAAAATTAACCGTAACACAATAAATTCGAATATACATATCTTAAATATAAATATAAAACAAGTGTATGTATATGTAAATGTATATATATATATATATAAATACATATTTGCAAATATATTATAAATAGCACTAAACATTTTTCTTTTTTCAAATTTAATTGCTGTTTTCGAAAATAACAATGTGTCTTAATAACATGTACACTTAACGCAAAATATTTTTCTTTTATCGAACCAGATATATTACAATTTTATGATAAAAGGAACTACTCTAAAAATTAAAATTATGTCTAAAATAAAATAATTTTTTGTGATGTTTAAATAATTAGCAACTAGTAGGAAATAATTGATTAAGAACATATTTTATTTTTTGATAAATGTGAATATAATTATAAGTTACCAAATGATAGATAAATGTATTCTATTTTATTACAAATTAAATTATTTTAATTGTTACATATATATTATATATCGGAACATATAAATCAGAATATACTTTCTGATCCGTTAATATAATGAAATCAGTAAGTCACAAATTAATGATGTATTCTTTAGGCTAATACTGCATCATACATATGCCGTATCTCTTTACCGCTACGTTGAAATAATATTAATATAAAAGCGTAAATGTGTCAAAAAGTGTAATGATAATAAGTGACCACAAACATCATTACATGCGCAAAAAATTATGTTAACATAAGTAATACTCTTAAAAATTACTTATTTATTTTATTACTAACATCGCAATATATTTTTACTCTAAAAAATAATATTATTTATTTTGTAACTAAACACGTCTTTAAAAAGACATTTAATCAAACAAGTTAAAAACCTGCTTTATAATCTCTATCAATAAGCATTAATATCAGTAAAACTTATAAAATAAACATCACTTTGCTACATTTTCTCTCATACTCTCCAATCGCTTTTCACTAATAAATTCCTGGTGAAGGTGTTCTCCTTATTCCAGCTAAAGAGGAGAGAAGTAACTTCAGGAACATAGAATTCATATCCAACCTACGTCAATATACCTAATGATAGTTAGATGTATCTTCTTTATATTAATAATATTCATAAGCGTCGATTTGTATCAATATGATAATCATTGAAATATGAAGATGTTTGTATGTAACATTATAACATTTAGATAAAATCTTGAAATATTTTAAAACTTGTTTCTTACTTTCTTCATTTTATTAGATCAATTTTTTACAATTATAAAATTTTATAAATATATTAAATCATTACATTTTTTCCCCACTTTTCCCTTTCTTTCTTTTCTCTAAGTTTAAATCTTGAAGTTTTATTGCTACACATACAACAATATTATTATTAAACGTCGGATTTTTATTCTGTATAATGTGTAAAAGTTTTCTGGATAAATTTCTCATATTAAAACAAGTTTTGTGTGTGGAAGTAGCGCATTCATTTCTCAGAATCCGAATCCCAAAATATAGAGGTCAAGTTCATATTGGTACCAATCTCTAAAGAGACTAAGTTCAATGTCTCTCGGAAGCCATTGACCAAGATGATCGGGTGGGCCAAGCGAGAGGACGCAGTTTGACCGGATAAATTCCATTGACCCACTAATGTAAGGCGCCTGGTAGGTAGGTAGGTAGGTTAAGGCACATGACCGGCTTACACGTTCGTTGCCGAAAAGCGATCGTAAATACGCGTACACACACAAAAAGCGACATTTACGGTGTACGACAGAATTTTACACTAGAAATTTTATTTCACCACAGGATTTGTCTTTCTCCCGTTGATGAATGCAAAAATGTGCACGCAGGCACGCACACTCTCTTATTTTACCTTACTTCTTTAGAGCTCTCGATACCCATGGAGGAACAAGGGGCTCGTTCAACATTTCAGCGTAACCTAGTTATTTCTTAGTCATAATTTATTGAATGTAATTTATGGGCGACAAGGTTACTAAATATTTTTCCATTTTATAGAAATAAAGACAGCAATAATATTGACAACATAAAGTTTGTGTGCTTTTAGTGTGTTTGCCCACTTATAAATAATATTATTATATAAAGATTTATTTATAAAATTTCTAATAATAATTATATGTTAACTTTAATTTAATTTTAATTTATTATAGCACTAAAGTTTTTAATATACAATTAATTACCGAACGATTAATTTTATAAAATTGAGTGCATCAATTACTAAAAATAAATCAATTGCAAAATCTATCTCAAATAATTCAAAATACAAATAATGTAGTCTTAAAAAAGATTTTAATTTTTCTTGTTATAATATTACGACGCAAATGGTATCTTCGATGAAATTTAATTCGAAAGTTTTGTAATTTTGTAATGATTTCTATATTTGTTTTTCCAATTTCCCTGTTTTTAATTATTACACTGAGTCGTATTTGCCGTTTTTATACTTATTTATCGTTATCACGAATTCGATCTTACAATTTCTACAGATAAAAGCAGTTTGTGTCGGTCTGACTGGGGGATTACTTGAGATATGCCAATCGCTCGTAACTATCGCTAGAAAGTATTTTGAGTTATAGACATAGCTGAAGAAAATTGTCAATTGTGAATCAGAAGTGTAAACTTCAATGGTGACAGATCCGACCGAAAGTATTTGTCTGCGGTGTATCGAAACTGGTTTGTACGTGTACAAAGTGAACCAAGCAACTAGGACATACCACATATTGGGTGAGCAAAAAAATGCAGCTTTAACATTTCAAAAAGTCCATTGTATGGTAATTGATAATTACGATCGTAAAAATTTATGATCTTCTAATAATCTACTAAGAAATCTTAGAAAAAGCAACTTGTTATTTTCTCCAATAGCATATGAGAAACATTTTTAAATTATTTTTTATAAGGAATATTCTACTTATCAGAGCAATTCAAAATTTTGTATACTATGTATAATTTGAAATCCAATAAATAATATAATTTTAAACGCGCATTTTTTTTTAAATTATAATAATACATTAAGATATTACAGTTAAGAATAGATAAATGATTATCCGTCAAAGCGTCAATCATTATTTTTTTATACTCATTTTTTGACGAAGAGTGACAACATTTACTCACCCACTTATCTGTCTCCTACTTTTTACTACAAAGAGACATGCGAATGCAATATTATCGCACCGTCTCTGACGGAACAAATAGCCTACTACACATTGCCTCATATTATGCAGGACTGCTATACAATTTCCGTTACGTCAACTGAGACAGGGAAATGGCTTTCGACTTTTGTAATAAATTTCCAGACAGAGATAAGTAAATAAAAAAAAATATTATATGAAATACGTACACAGAAATAAATATCAAGAATAAATACATGTATTTGTAATATGAGTATTTTAAGTAAGTTAATATTAACACAAAATAATATATTATAATTTGTCTGAATATCGAATTTTCTCTAGAAATAATTTTCTCTAGAAGAATTTTCTACAGAAATTATTAATCTTGCAAATACTTTATTAATATTTTTATAAAGGATTATAAACTTTTATTTTTTTCTAAGAACAGAAGCAAAAATTGTATTATAATATTTTCAAAATAATATATAATAGTAAATTGAATACGTAAGAATATTAAAGCCTATATATAACGATCGAAACTGGATCTTTAAAATAATTCAATGTGAATTATTAGGTGTACAAAAAAGTTCTGAGCTTTTTTTTGTAAAATTCAATCTTTATTTAAAAATAATCGTACGGAAATGGCTTGCTGCGTAACGCCAAGCTGTTCTGCAAGCTCCTTTTCAGTTTGCGCAGAGTTTATATCCAGCAGTGCTTGCAATTCGTCCGTTTCAATCTTTTCAGGGCGTCCAGCACGCGATTCATCTTTAAGACTGAAATCTCCTTGGCGAAACTTTTGATACCACCTTTTGCATGTTGCATGACTTACAGCGTTCTCTTCATATGCAGCACAAATCATTTCAGTGGCTTCAGCAGCATTTTTCTTCAGATGAAACGCGAAGTGGATGGAAAATCGAATATGCTCTTTTGTAATTGCCATCGTGAACACTACTGATTTTTGAGGTTATGTGCATCAAACGCCAAACCGTAT